GTCAATTCTAAACCTCCGCTGGCACAGCTTGAGGCCATCTGCTCTTGTCCTATCACTCATCTGGGAGAAGAGGCCAACCCCAGCTCACTACAACCTCCTTTCAAGTAGTTGTAGGGAGTGATGTGTGGTCCATGCACAGAAAACCTGAGCACCCAAAGAGATGGGATGGGGCAACCCATCCACCCAGAGCCACCAGCAGCACTCTATGTCCACGCAGCTCCTTACCCCCACCCAGCCCGCCAGCATCCCACTGAGACGGGGTGTCCATAGGGAGGTGCTTCCCATGTGTATCCCTCTCTGTGATGGGAGCACCTCTCCCTGACGCTGCTCCCTCGCTCCGTGCCAGCCTGGCCGGGGTCTCCCGCAGCACCACTGTCCTGGTGGCTTATCTCATGACGGTGACTGAGCTGGGCTGGGAGCACTGCCTGGCCGCCACCAGGGCTGTGAGGTCCTATGTGAGCCCCAACTTCGGCTTCCAGCAGCAGCTGCAGGAGTACGAGGTGACCTTGCTGCAAGAGGTATGTCCTACGTCAGTGTCCCCTTATATACGTGTCTGCAGGGCTTGCAAGCAGGGATGGCTCTTTTGCATGCAGCTCTATGCAGGGCCAGCTGTTTGCCTGAGCTGGCCTTTGTGTGTGCTATTTATTACCTGGGGATTTTGGGGTTTTGCATGCAAAAACAGCAAAAAAGCCTTAAAAATAAGAAAGTGCCTAGACATTGTGCAAGTGCACTTAAAAAAGCTGTTTAAACCCCAGTGCTTTTCTCGAGGGTTCGGTTAGGAAGCAGCAGGAGGGATGGGTGAGCAGCACATCCCCTGGGAACCACGGGAAGGGTGCTGAGCTGGTTCCCTGGAATGCAGCAGTGTAGGGTGGAATGGGGTAGACGAGAGGGAGGAATGCTCTTGTGGACGGCTTCAGAATGTGCTTGGGCTTCCCCTGACAGTGAATTCACTGCTTTCAGAGGCAGGAAGGAGACAGGAGCAAGTTGGTGCAGATGTTGTCCTCTTTCCTCAGCCAAATGATGAGGATCAGCAGGTTTGAGGAGAGCAGACACCCCGGCTGGGTGTGTTCCCATCCCATGCAAGGGAGGGATGATTTAAGCTGGGCTGAGCCGGATGCTGACAGCGGGGAGTGACAGCAGCATGTTTAATCAGGACAGCACTAACTGCAGGGCTCAGGGATGCACTCTTGGCCCGGAAAGCCTTTGAAAGCAAAAGGAAAGGCACTTAAAAGCACAGCTCCCACTGGCTCCCACACTGGACCTTGCTCCTCCATCCAGTCCCAGGCTCTGCAGAGGACCAGGGCCCAAAACTGCCCATGGGCCACTGATGGACTTCTGCAAGGGAAGAGTAACCCACAACCTGACATCTCACAGCCCACATCAACCTTAAACTTCATCCCATCCCTGGAGTCAAAGCCCTCCCCATCCACTACAGCCACGAGCGTCATGCAGTGTCCCCGCCATCCCTCCGGACACTCCAAGTGGGTCAAGGGGATTTCTCTCCTCCCACCCCAGGCAATAGGCAGGGACAACATGTGACATGGTCACAAATGTCACCCCTTGCCCGGGTGCTGTCACATGCAGGACACAGCAATGACCCGTTATTGCTGGCTTGCAAAAACACCCGTGGAGGAGGGCAGAGAATGGTCCAAAGGATTACAAAACACCCGCAGTGCTGGAGATTCCCTGTGGGGCTTCCCCCGTCCGCTTCCCCAGCCCTTCCCACACTCTGGCTGTGTCCCAGCAGAGACCGTGATGTGGGGTTTGCTGTCTCCTGCTCCCCGAAGACCAAGCTGTGCTCAGCAGGCACCAGACTTCCCTCCCTTTCCCTTGGATGCTGCTTTTTCATCTCCTCAAGGTTTTTCCAAGGGCTTTGCAAGCATTTTCATGAAAACACCAAAGGCAGTGCCAAGGGTTGAGACACTTGGATGTGTGCTCGGATGGGGTTTAGCAAGAGCTGTCTTTTCCTTGAAACATGCTGAATTCCCTGTAGTCCCAGCACCGGGAGGGAATGTGATGGGCGTGTGGGTGGACTAGTGCTGGAAGCTGGAGCAGGGAGCGTTACTTACTCTCAGTTGCATTTGGAGAAGGGGAAGAGCCAGGATGGAGCTTCAACTGCTCCCAGCTCATCCCTGCATCCTCCACCTTTGCAAGAGGAAGGTCAGCCAATGTGGAATGTCGGGGGTCCCATCGGATGGTGGGTGCTGTAGGGTTTCACCTGCATGGCCAGGAGCCCATAGGACCTAGTGCCACATGGGTCCTGCCCCTTTCTTCGTGCCAAGCAGCATTTGGCTTGCTTATGTTGGCTGTAGGAGGTTGCACCTTGGTTCTGTGGCTTTGGGGTTGTTTTCTGTGTGTAGGTAGGATGCAGGATTATGGGTATCATGACCAGAGCTTCAGCTCTTGATGAGGGTAGAAAAGAGGTTAAATCTCCCCATTTAGCCCAGCAGGCATCAATATGGAAATGCAGTGCTTGGGAGCAGCCATGGATAAGGGATGGACAGGCTGCTCAAGAGGAAAAGCCTCATTTCTTGTTGGTTAAAACCCGAAAGGAACAGGTTGATCCTCATGGGAACCTGCTCCGTAGGGCTATGGGTGAGCATCCCTCAGTGTCTCAGCTTCCTTGATCCAGAGTAGGGACCTCAGATGGGACCCTGGGAAGTAGACACGGGGAAAATGCTCTCTGGCACTGGCCAGAAAGCCTGTCTGGAGCATGCAGCTGTGGTTTTGAGCTGACAAATGGTACTTATCGGGATGGATAAAGAAGGAAGGAAGAGACCAAGAGCAGCAGTGCCATGATGGGTGAGGTTAGAAAAGGAAGTGAGCTCAGAGAAGACAGTGTGGATGTGAAAGAGGGCACAGATGGGCATTCAGATGATGGACCTGCCTCCCCATGGTGCTGGCACACCATGGCCACGCTGCCTTCCTCACCCTGGTGCGGTCCCACATGGGATGGATGCTTCTGGCCCCAGAGAGAAGAGGAGGGCAGTAGGTTTGTGGTCAGCACTGGAGGAAACAGGCTGTGTAACCACTTCTTGCTCTCACTTTAAAAGGAAACCCCTGGCAGCAGCAGCAGCAGGTTGCTTCTCCTTATGGATCCTTCCCTCCTTTGCTGGATGGTGGCAGTCAGCTCCCAGTGGATGGGTGATGTGTGCTGAGTCCTGGTGCATGCCGAGCCTTGGTGGCCAGGTCTCCCCATGCTGCTGGTCTCCCCATGGAACTTCATCCCTTTGGATGGTTTGAATGGGAGGAATGTTTCAAATCCTGTCCCATATGGTTTGGGACCCACTTGTCAGGGGTTGTTTTCTAGCAAGGAAATCAGGTCTGGCTCTCGGGGTCCAACCTGAACAGAGGATCTATCTGCTTACAGGAGGCAAGTGTGAAGCAGTCTGTGGTGAATCCCACTATCTGAGGGAGTGGATTTAGGAAATCCAGACATTCCTGTTAGAAATCGACATTTCTGTTGGAAATCCCCTCTGTCTGAGCTGACCTTCCCTGACTGCAGGAGGTGGGGATGCACAAGGGTCAGTCTCAGCTCATGGTCCCTGTGCCTGCAGCAGTGCTGCAGGATGGGGCTGAGCTGGCCATCCTGCTCTCCTGAATCCCACACTTTTGCCATGATCTCCATGGTGCTGGGCTGTGGGATGCTGTTATGGCACCCCGGGATGCTGGAACCACTGCAGGGACATCTCAATCTGAGGGTACCAAGGTTGGGTAGCTCATGGGGACTGTTTGCCTCCTCCCTCTGGTCCCCCTGTGCCTGGCTCCAAGGTTTGGTCCCTCTCTGGACCATTTGCAAACATAGGTTTCACATTCCCGACTCCATATCATCCATCCTTAAGGGGTTTTCTGGCCATATTCCTACTGGTCATCCCAGTAAGTCCTGCTTGCTGGAGCAGCTGATTCCCACCTCCTTAGGAAGATGGCAAAGCCCTGCTGGGGTCTGGCAGTGCTGCCCATGATCCTGCGTACTGCAGCCTGAGCCCATTGGGCTGTTCCACATCGCAGCAGAAGCAAGAAGCATTTCCACGGACATCTCCCACTTCCCAGCCACCTCTGGATCTCTTCCTGCTGCCAGTTCATCCCCAGCCACTGGGGTGCTCCTGCAGTCTTTGCAGCTGGATGCAGGGATAAAGCGGGGGGGACAAGAGGCACCCCTCAATCAATGCGGCGAAGAAGGTGCTCTGCAAACAAACCTGCCTCCACATGCAGGAGCTGATTTGGCCGTGCAGCTTGTAGCAGCGAGTCCAGCCTGTGGGGACTGTTCCTGTAAGCTTTCCTTACAGGAATTCAGGCGCACAAGGGAACAGCAGCAGCTTCTTGGCAATGTAAAGTAAACAAAGCCGGCGTGAGAAGCTGAGGATGCTGCCAGCTTCCTGGGTCTGCCTGTGCCGGGCTGGGGATGCGGGAAACACACACTGAAGGGGGAATTGTTGCATCTCTCATACAGTGTGGTTGTGGTGTGTGAGCTCCTGAGAAACTGGGATCTTTCTGCTTGCTGGCTGTGGCTGGGGACACCCTGGCCTCGCTGGAGGCTGTGGAAGTGGGCATTGCCTCTGCTCTGCCTGCTGCTTTGCACCAGAGCTGCTGCAAGCCCCATCTCTCAAACAGAGGGTGTCTGATCCCCCAATGGCCCTAACAACCTCTCTTGGCTTTGTCCTGTCAGTACCGTGCTTGGATCCGCCACAACTATGGCAGGAACCCATTCAAGGACCAGGAGGAGCTGCAGAGCTTGCTGGCCCAGCAGGAGCAGAGGCAGAAGGAGCAGCAGCTGGGGAGCAGGGATTGCTCCTGGCTCCACTCTCCAGCTCCCACTTACCCGCTCCCCTACCATGCAGGTGGCACCAGCAGAAGCAGATGGATGAACAGATAAGCAGCCGGCTGCTCCGAGGCAGATGTTGGCCCCGGGGCTTGGAAAACCCTTTGCCAAGTGCCTCCGGGGGTTCACGTCTAGGGCAGAAAGCAGCCAGCACCAACCTCAGCTGTGGATCAAGGGTTGGAGCGGGGGGGATCAGGACCCACAAACCTTCCCCTTGGCTGCTAACTCTATGTATACCCCATGGCAAGGCAGTAAATTAATGGCAGTGTCTTGCTCTGTCCCATTCCCCCATTCCCCAGTGGATTGCAGCCCCTTTCCCATCACTCAGAGCAGCAGCAAACCCCATCCCTCTCTCCAGCAGTGTGGTACCCAGGCGCTCCTCTGGCAGGGTACAAGGATGGCAATGCGGACCTTGGAAAGCAAGGGTGGGATGAGATGGGGAGAGGTCATAGATCACAGAATAGGTCACCTTGTATTGTGCTTTGCAGAGGAGCTGGGATCTGATGCAGCCCTGGGAGGGATGAGTCCTGGGATATTGGTGTGATGCTGAGCCCTGGCTGTCGCCAGGATGGGGATAAGGGGCTGGAGGCTATTTGGGCTGCTGATGTCCCTCCTGGTCCAGCCTGTCCTTCGTCCATGTCTGTCTGGCATCTTTCTCAAACCACCTCCCCAGGGAAGGGGGAAATCCAGTGGTGCTGCAGGCCACCAGTCCCCAACCCCTCCATCCCTGCAGCTGGAGTGAGATTGGGCTTCCCCTGCTGCCCAGTCTGAAAGTCCCTGGTTGCAGAAGAAGCCGGTTGCTCGGCTGGACTCAGTCGACTCCGAGCCCAATTTAATGCTGTCCCTCTCCAAATGCCTTTTTAATAATGGGAGACTGTGACTGTGTCCCTTTTTCATCCCAAACTCATCATCTTCCAAAGCACGGGCTTCCTTTGCCAAAGTCCTCATATCTGCCCTACAAGAAGGGTCCCAACCCATCGTCACAGCCATTCTACATTTAAACCTTTAACTCTTCTTGGCCTTTTACTACAAATACCTTGCTTGGCTTCTCAATAATATTAGTTCTGCAATCCACTCTGAGGAAAAAAATAGCATTTAAAGTATTTCTAGGAATTCCCTTAACGAAAATTCCTGGGTACTCGAAGTGTGACAGGGCCAGGGGTGACTTGACCATCTCCTAATAAAGAGGAGAGTGATTAAATCCATGAGGAATGTTGGTCTTGATTTGTGGTGTTCCTGGTGGGAATGGAGGGATGGACTGACACGGCCACTCTGCTGCTGTGTCCTATTCCCTATTTTCTTGATGAGAACCACCAGCAAAATTAAATGCTTTAAGGACTTAGTGTTCAGCCATAACATAGGATTCCAGGGGAAAAAAACTGTGGAGGCTATTCTCTGTCTTTTTAGGTTGAGATAAGGGTCCCTTTGGCTGCAGTCCTGCGTGGAAGAACACAGTGGATTGTGCCTGCAGCACACATGGGAAACCAGAGCAACTAATGTGATCTAGGACCATAAATGGATAAATGCTGTTGGTGGGGTGGACTGAAGGGAAGTTGAGCAAACTGGGTCAATATTGGATTTAATGCCTCCTATTATCATTTTAGGAAGCAGAAAAGTGGAACTTGCACATAGGGAAAAAAACAAGAAGAAAGTTGGTTTCTGGTGTTAAGTAGGAAGTCATTGGAGATCTGTGATAAGCAGGGATTAGATCTGCAGTAGGTGTGATAACCTCCATAGAGCGCTGCCGTCCTGTCACCTCACCCTTCCCATCTCATCACCATCCCGGGACTCAAACATTCTCAAAGGAACTGCAGCCTCAAAGCGCTGTTACCCCTGGAAAAACACTCCTGATTTCGGGAATCACAAGGGATGCTCGCCATCAGCTGCAGCATCTCCCATGCCTGGTATCACAGCAGCACCGATTGCCCAAATAGCACCTCCCAAACCCAATTTCCCCTGAATTTGGGGGGTGTCCCAGGTGAATATATATGTATTTCCAGTCTGGCCTATATCAGTGGGACCTGTGGTGGCCTTAGGACTTCAGGCACTGGAATGCAAGCCCTGAAGGAGGTAAAACCTACCTGATTTCTCCTTGCCAAGAGCACTGCACACTTCACTGCCCAGCTCTCCCGACAGCCCGGTGCCTCTGCTGCAGGGGAAATCGCTCTGTTCAAGTGTAGATGAGCTTCCCATGGTGCTGCTCACACACAGGGAAGCAGTTTACAAGAAATTCCCGGCTCTGCCGCCTGCCCCAGGGTGTGTTTCGTGTTTGCCTTTGTCATCTCGCTCCCTTCCAGCCTGCCAGCACCATGAGTAGGCAAAAACCGCATTTTGAGACGGTTGTTATTTTATCCTCCTCCCACTGGACCCCCCTCACAGTAGAGAACTGAGATTTTGCCTTTCCAGGTTGCCCATGAAGTTGTGAAGCCAAAATGAAGCCAGAAGTGATGGAATCACCCTGCTGGCAGCAGGGTCCCTTTTAGTCGTTGCGCTCCAGATGGGACAAAAGGATGAAGAAGCTGGATTATACAATTCCCCTTGAAAATATCCTGAATTTTTTAGGACTTTCACGAAATAAACCATTTTTTACTCGGGGTGTCTCTGTCCAGTATAGAACTGGTGCCATGGGAGGCAGAGATGCAGCTCCCCCTGCAAAGATGAACTTGTTTCTCTGTAAAAAGCCCCAAGAAATAACCCTTCCAACCGTGTCTGATTGCAAGAGGTGTTTTTGGCTCTCCCCAGATCTCATGGGGCGGGATCTGATTAGGATCAGTCAAGTGTTTAAAAACAAGGGTTATTACAGATGTTATTTGTTAGGAATGACAGTAAAGGTTGTGTACCTTGGATCATTATTTTTATTGTAGCAGCTGTGCAGCTCCATACATTTCCCATTTCTCTCTATTACCCACATGGGAGTAATTATGGTTTTCTTCCAAGAAATGTGTGTGTAATCTGGTAATCCCAAAAAAAAAGCCCCTCTGAGGTCAGGCTGCAGATGATCCCTTATGCTCCATCACAGCCAGCAGCCCCGGTTGGGTACAATGGGGATGGGCTGGGGCTGCTGGGCACTGCCAGGGCTCCGATACTGGCTAAGGCAGTAAGGGAGGGACTGATCTGGACCTGGAGCTGACCTGGGACCTGGGGCTGATCCAGGAGGGAACTGGGACCTGCTGCGGGATGGACTGACTGATCAGGGACTGGGAGACTGGTCTGGGGCTGGGAATGGATTGATCTTGGGGAGACTGGTCTGGAAGTGGTCTGAGACTAGGGAGGGAGTGATCTGGGACTAGGGAGACTGGTGGGGAACTGGGGAGGGACGAATCTGGGGAGACTGGTCTAGGACTGGGGATAGACTGATCTAAGACCGGGGATGGATCAGTCAGGGACTGGGGAGACTGGTATGAAACTGATCTGAGACTGAGGAGACTGGTCTGGGACTGGGGAAGGACCAATCTGGGACTGGGGAGGCTGTTCTGGGACTGAAGATAGACTGGTTTGGGACTGGGAATGGACTGATCTGAGACTGGGGAGACTGGCCTAGAACTGGTCTGGGACTGGGGAAGAACCAGTCTGGGGCTGGGAATGGACTGATCTGGAACCGGTCTGGAGTGAGGAGGCAGGTCTGGGACTGGGGATAGACTGATCGGAGGCTGGGGAGACTGGTCTGGGACTGGGAAGCGGT